ATGGTAGAGAAAAAAATAAATATGTATGAGGTTACATAAAAAATGGCAGACTTCCTTTTAGGTGTAATAAGTGTATGGCATTTAAGAACTCGCCTAATAATAGAGAAGAATCGGTAGATATTTGTGAAAGTTACGATTTCGGTTTGCAAAATGTATTCGATGGGAACAAATTTTGTTTAATAGAATGATTTGTATATATACACACGTGAATTTTGGTCAAGGTGCGTCATGCACTTTGTATTTTTGTAGACTCATTGTGTTCTATATCCAATTACTTCAGATTAGTTACCTTTTTTGTTAACTTAACATACATTTAATACGAATAAATTAGTCAGTAATTTATTAATAGCATTTAACTAAAGTAATTCGATAAGACTTATTTGTAATTAATTATGTAATTTATATACCATATTCGACATGGCAATATTTCAATGCATTTGTGTACAACTTTTTGAATATTTGTTGTTATAGTTCCTAAATGTCAACATATTTTTTTATCTTAAAGTAAGATTTATTAAACTTAGTTCACTTATCATTAATATAGATTCTATATTTTGTCCTTATACCGCCCTTAATTAAGTCCAATTATGGTATAGAAGTTTTTTTAATTATTTTTTAATTAATTTACATGCAATATTTGTATCGTTTACAGGTATCCGCCGATTTACGAACTAGTACCATTCCAATGGGTAGTTCGTAAGTCGAATTTGTTCGTAATTGGAGGAATTTTAAAAATATATTTATATTACCACATTTTACCATTGTTCTTACTTTTATATATGTTGTAACGTGGTAAAATCGACAACGCTGCAAGTGCGCTCCACGTTGCAACTATGTTTCCAAAATTCGAGGAGACCGCAGCAAACCGCGAAAGAAGACGGTTGTAGTCTCCAGTTTGAGAAGAAATTATAAATATATTTGTAATCTCCCAGAGGACGGTGTTGGTGCTCTAGAGGAGCTAAGGCCCACCGTCGGAGAAGAAGTTGCTGATCTGGAAGCAGTTGTTAGAGTTCTTCCTCTCTTTAAAAGGAAGTGGCGCCCTGAACCTTCCCACGTCACGGACTCACGCCCTAGCGGGTTGAAGATTGGTATATCTTGTGTTTTTTTATGTACACGAGTTTTATCGTGTTACAATGTTAAATTCCGAATTACTGACTGCATAAATTTGAAAAATAGATTAAAATAAACAAAATACTTACTTACAAATATTTTTCAATGTAGACATAACAATTTAATAAAAAAATAAGAAACAAATGCAATAAAACAGATAGTACATCTTTCAAGAATATTATATTTTATTAAAGAAATTATCAATTTTTGTTTGGGCAGTTAATTTTTATCACTATATATGTCCTTGTAACAAGTTAGAGCTTTTAGATTTTTGTTCGTAAGTCCGGAAGTTCGTAAGTCAGGGGATACCTGTATTTATATTGTTTCATGATAGAAATATACAAGGTATTAAATCTCATTCAAATATTTTTCCATTTGATAGTTCCCTCCTAACATATATTTTAAATTAATTTTCAAAAGTCTGCTTCCTCTTCCAATAATGAGCTTCCTTCTGTAAACTCCTGCTCTCCGTTTGCAAGTCACATTTCGGTAGGATTATTTACTATCTACAATATTAAGCAAAATGGTCAGTATCAGCTCAAAACCTCTGCAAAACCAGTAACTCGAGGGAGTTTCAAAAGTCCGAATTGACAGTTTTCCATATGACTTAATGTGTCATGCAAGCACATTATCATATATTGTATATTTATACCCGGTGCCCGACAACCGAAATCCCGTCTATCGAAATCCCGATTATATCGAAATCCCAACTATGTTAAAATCCCGACAATCAAAATACAGTCGGGATTTCAAACGTCGGGATTTCGATACATTCGGAATTTCGAACGTCGGGATTTCAATCGTTGGGATTCTTTCTGTTGTCGGGCTTGCGATATAGACCCATTTATACTGTGATTTAGTTCTTTCTGGTTACTTTATCAAATTGAGAATCAAATTTGTCATTTGTAAATATGACATGTGCCAATATTAATTTAATGTGTCGATATTTCATTCCATATGTCAACCTTAATTCAGTGGCATGTGTCAAAAATAACAAAAATTGAAAATTTTATTACAATAATCTTTTTGTGAGGATTTCAATACGCCAAGATTTTATATTTTTTAAGCGGCACGTAGTAACATAAAGTTTGGAAACCACTGGTCTAAGGTGTTTTGTAGATGAAAGAAATAATAAAGTTGTATTATTGAAAAGAATTTTCTCAACGTATATTAATTGAAAACTATTGAAGACATAAAATCTTATACTGATGAATATTTTTATGTAAACAATTATTTTGGATCGGATTCGATCACTTTGACAACTTGACCATCGGCGGGCACGGATTTTACTGTGTATTTCAACTTGGTACCATGGGCGGCCGTCTTCACTGAAGCAGTTCCAGATAAATTAATCTTAGGTCCGGCCAGAGCGGTAACCTCTTCACTACAAAAACAAAAAGGATTGTTAAATCGGAATATTAACTTAAGACTTTGTTTTCAATTACCCGGTGACTCTGTATCCATTCTCATCGGCTTCGTAGAAAACGGTTTTCATAATATATCCATCGCTGTAGGAGTACATTCCGGTAACTTTGTGTCCATTGCGAACTTCCTCCCTGTGCTGCGTAAGGTCGTTAATTGTGTCCACAACATTCGAGGCGAATCTATACCTGATGAAAAAAAAAATCACATGAGAGTTTGTATATTGATTATTTGGCTTTAACACTTACTGAGCGGCTCCGTTTTGGGCAATTTCATCTTCTGAAGGTACTTTCTCAACTGGTATCTGCTCCTCAACTGGGACCGGAACTTCCTCTACTACTTTGGCAACTTGTGGTTGCACTTTATGCTGAGGAATATAAAACGTCCTTGGCGGGAGAGCCAAAGCTACGGCAGCCAAACCCAAGATGAGGATCGTCTGAAACATAGTAATTGAAATAAAAATTTAGAAAACAAATACTAATAACTTTACTTACGTTCTTAAGCATTTTGATTTATTTGTGTGTGATCGATGAATGATCGTGTCTGCAGTCGTTCCCTTTTATATATGTGTCGAGGATTACTTATCCCCTTTGTTTTCCACTCATTAATATTAACTTACGTTCCTAATCATTATTTTTTTTTATTATTGGTAAACGGTTTACGATTGATTTTTAATTCGAATTTTATTGGATTCCCTTTACTTTTTTTTCAATGCTTTTACTTTATTTCTTTTTCTTTGTACATGGATCCTATTGGAACTATTCCACACAATTCTTATATACCTAAAATTAATTGCAAAATGTATTTTTTTATTAACATTGTTTCATTTGATTATAATACAAAAAAAAATCAATGTCCAAGCTAAATACTTGGCAATTGGAAATAATGTGTTTTTAATTACACAAATATATTTGGAAATACCAAGCGACTAAATTGATGAAAACTTAATTTTTTGGTATCTAATAATCGTTCATTCATTGTGTTTTAATTAAAAAAAAGTGTAATCATAGAAAACTATAAGTATTTAACAATAAGCTTATAATACAATGACGTGTGCAAATTATATAAATCAAAAGATTGATTGAATAGAATAGAATTTGAGTGATTGAAATGTATGTTTTGATTAACACAATCTCATAGGTTACCAAATTGAAATTAAAGTGTACATTGATATTTCAAAATTGTAATGCACTAAGATACAAAGACCAGGAAGTAATTGTCATCTATTGCGTAGGCATTAATGCAGAAAGTGTTTATTCCAAGTAGGGAGTGTTATGTATCACACGAAATCCAGGCCAATTTAACATATTTTAACATTTTATCTGTCTAGCTTTTAGCTAAGAGTTAAATCTCATATATAAAATGATTGTTGTCAGTTTTTAATTATAATTTCTATTCATTTTATTTTATAATATAAAGACAATTTTTCAAAATTTCAATTTAAATGTTTTTGGTTGTTGGAAAGAAATTACCATCTTATAATATGTATATAGATTTGTATTACTGTTATATAAATTAGCAAGAAATTCCTATAATGAAATTCTTCTTATGGAATGTTGTTGCCCATATACAATATTTTATATAATTTATATAATTGTAAATATTATGCACGATTTTATGAGTAAATTATATAATTTATTGCATTACAACAGTAATATTAAAAGCTTCTGAGAATAATTTAGAATGCGATCCACATAAAATTCTGGTACTAATATATTACATGGAATGTTTATTCCAATTAGAAACTCCATTTTAGTTCAATGAGATCTGGTGGAATCTTATCAGCCCATCTTTGCTAAATGTAATCGCATCATGATGTAAATAATATAAATCGCGACTTCTCTATGGATTTAGAAATCTACTATGAAAGTTGTAAGAAATAGTTTGAATAGTTTAAGAAAAATTGTACCAATTCAATTTGATTTATTTACTTGATTTTACAGATTCAAAGGTATATTTATTTGTTCTTAATAAAAATTAATGTAATATTTAGATCTTCTTTTCGTCTCCACACTTTACTTGGCCTGCGCGTCTTTCATAATTTCGCCAGCCACGTTTTTATTAATTTGAAATAAAAATATTTAGATATTGTTATAATTTTAAGTGAACGAATGTAACTTATGCAACTCAATAATCTTATTATGTCTTAAGTTTTGAATTTATTTAAAAATGTTGACAACTTAATTTAAATCGTATATTATTGTTGATTATTCATTAAATGAAATTAATTATTATCATTTTATTTGTATTATATACATACACACAATAGAGTTAAAAATAAATATATATTAATTAGGGATTTAAAAAAGGGGACTATTAATGAGTTATTTTATGTGAATGAAGTTGCATATATCAACATTGTTATGTTCTGGATTATGCAACATATAAATATGTCAATGTTATTAATTGTTTATATTCAATTACATATAAATAATTTTATAAATATATATTTTTTGTATAAATATTGTTGTAATATTTGAAGTCTATCAAATACTGCGATATATTCTAAGTCGTGTATCAAAATAAAAACTAAATTTACATCTAACGATTGTTTCTAATAATTATGCCCACTTGAGATATCACAGATTTTTATGTGCTCTTCAGTTCCCTCCAGTCGTTTAGATGTATCCCCAGTCTTGTTTTATCATATCGGATCCTTTTTCAGCTATCATATATACAGGCGCATTGGTGTGACCGGAAATTACTTCCGGCATGATGGATGCGTCTATAACGCGCAGCCCTTTGATGCCGTGCACACGAAGACGTGGGTCAACAACGGCCCTCTTGTCCGTTTCAGGGCCCATTTTGCAAGTGCCACTCAAGTGGTAAATGGTCAGCGTGAAGTGCTGAGCCATGCATCCCAAATACTCGTCAGTTCCGAACCCGAGGGGTTCGCATTCAGGGATGGGAATAGTGTGTAGCTTGGTACCGATCTTCATCATGGCTGGCTGCTGTGTTACATTGATCGCTAATTTCGTGGCTTCGACTATCGTCTTCAGATCCTCGGGATCAGAAAAGTAGTTGGGGAATATTAGCGGTTTGCCGCGATAATCCGCGCTGGAGAGCATGATGCGTCCTTTGCTCTTCGGCAGCAGCAGCATGGGAAAAATGGAGAAGCTGTGCTTATCTACGATCGGTTTGAATATCTTCTGGTACAAATCCTCACGAATGCCAAAGTTTTTCCTCAACAAACTGTCGGACGCAATCGAACCGGATACGTACAGAAGCTCGATGTTTGCGTGACCATCAGGATTGTTCGGATCCGTGAGGTCGTGAAAGCTGAGCGCCTCGCATCCTCCTGGGATTGAAATAGGTCCCTTGTGATAGTTCAAATAATCGATTAAGTTGTTATGTTCTAACATTTTGTCAGCGTTGATGGAGTACGGCTTCTCCAACGTGAAAGTCAATCCGCCTACGGCGATGTGATCCATAAGGTTGAAGCCTACCCTAGAGTTCTTCAGCACCGGTATATTCAAGCTTTGCAGATGTCGCTTGGGTCCGATTCCTGAGAGCATCAACAGTTGCGGAGAGTTGATCGCGCCTGCAGAGACGATAACCTCTTTCCTTGACAAAACAGTGGAGCTTCTACCGTTCTTGATTATTTCCACGCCGTACGTCTGCTTGGTCTTCGGGTCGATCAGGATCTTCTTCACCATAGTCATCTTTATCACGTGCAGATTTTTCCTGTGCTTAATCGGGTATATGTAAGCTTTATTCGAACTGTGTCTCATGCCGTCCTTCAAACTCGTCTGCAGGTAGCTTACGCCGATTTGCGATTTTCCATTGTAATCAACGTATTTCATGCCCAATTCTTTGTTGGCTTCTATAAGGGCTTCAGAGAGTTTCGTGTGGTAAGGCGCGTATCCAATATTCAAGTAACCGTCGGTGTTGTGGTATTCCGAATCCTTGTACTCATCGATGGTGAAGTTTTCGATTTTCTTGAAGTACGGTAGGACGTCGTCGAAGGTCCATCCCTCGTTACCCAACTTTGCCCAATTATCGTAATCCTTTTTATTTCCTCTGGTGTAGATCATGTAATTCAACACGCTCGATCCGCCCATCACCTTACCTCTGGGCCAGTTACACTGTCCGTTTTCCATGCCCATGCAGTACCTCTGGCTGGGCATGGTGTTGAAGCGCCAGTTCGCGTCTGTAAATTGCAGGTAGTTTGCCAATATCGGGAAATCCATGATTGGCGTTTCGATATAACCTGAAAAAGATCACAATTTTCAATATGTACGTGATAAAAGCAAATATCCATTACCAGCTTCGATTAGAAGCACTTTCCACTTCGGGTTTTCCGTTAGACGATTCGCTATTACGCAACCAGCCGTTCCTGCTCCCACCACGATGAAGTCGTATTCCGGCAGAATGGTGAATTCATCCGTGGAGTCTGGTATTAACTGACTCGACATTTCTCCCAATAATGTTAAGACTCCTTCAAGAATACCTTGTCCTTGCCCTAAGTGTACCATCATGCACGTCAACAGTAATATAGGGACTACCTTCTTAACCTTCATCTGAAAAAGACATCATTACATTATTGAAGAAAATCAAAAATACAGAAATATTTATTAATTAAATAATAAATACAACGTCAAATGTAATGTACATTAATAATGTTGTCATTAAATTAAAAATCTTTAAATACAAAAAAAAAATACAAGAAATACTTGTAAATCTTAATAAAAATAATTTGATTTGTGCAATGTTTAAAGCTAAGTTTAGCTTATAAAAAATCTTTAATTTATGATATGTTTTAAAAGAAAGTTTATTTATAGTTAAAATATCGACCACAATGAAACTACTTGGTAACGTAGAACATGACGAATAGTAATCACATGCAATTCAACCTTTATATAGAAAACTTCTGAACTTAGCAGTAATGGGCAATTATTCTATTTTTAGAGTTAATCGTGACAAAATTTGCCCAGCATATAATTAAAAACAACAATGAAATAAAACATGATATTGAAAATACAGAAAAAAAATAATTATTTACCAATTTGATGAATTTAGGTTTCCTTTATTTTCCATAATTTTATTATAAATAATTACTTATATTTTATTTGTTTATTTGAAAATTTTGATTGATCCATAAGGAACAAAGAGCTAACGATTTTTTGCCCTTACTACAGCTGTACTAATGTATTCGCACTATTATAAATGTGAAGTACACTATGTAATTATCATTTTAAAGAGATTGATCATAGTTTGAAAGTGAACTTTGAATTTTAAATAAAATTAATTGTATTTTAATTTACTAATAATTTATTTTTGTTTGTTTCAGGTAAAAAAACACGTTGGTTAATGCGGTTAGGAAATATTATGTGACCTTCTCCATCCGTTCAGTAATTTAAAAGAACATTCTCCGAATGTTTAAGGTAACCTACTATGATTTAGACGTTTTAAATTTATAATTGACAAATACAATAAACGTGATACACTAATTCCCGGTATAATTTAAATTAGATGCGGGTATTTAAATTTTAAATAATTTTGTTACCATTAAGTTTAAATGATTCAATCAATTAATAAACCGGTTTGCTAAAAATAACTTAAAATTATTAATTAAAAAATGTAAACAAATTAACAATTTAAATTGATTTTTCATCTAAGAATAATATTTTTTTTGTATTGATTATTTATTACAAAGTCTAAGAAATCAATGTCAATAGATTATTCTTTGAAAATTAATTGTATTTAGACTTTTGAACCTCAAAGTCACAATAGATTTTATGCGGTCAAAGTCATCTTCATTATATTCAAGTTCATCTTCATTAGAAATTTTTTTTTATAATATTTGTTATTCTGTTGTTAACGAATTAAGTGGATTATTAAACATAAAATTAATGTGTTGTTTATAATAGTTACAATAGACTAATGATAATTTGTACATTTTATATTATTTTTTGGTATTAATTAATAAATTGATGAGGTTTTTATATTAGCTCTTCCACAGAGTTCCAATGAAATTTATTAAGTTTTAAATATCATAGGTTTTGGAATATATTTTTGTAATTTACGATTTTTGATTATTATTAAAGAATGAAGGAATTTTACGATTTTTACAATAGTTATGAATAATGTATTTAACGAACATTTTTTTAACGTGTGAAGCAAAAACCTGTAGTATTTTACAAATTTGATTCATAAATATGAATATTTTAAGATAATAATTTAATAATTAAGAAAATACTTCTAATCTTTAAATTATATTAAATTGACACATAATAGTAACTATAGCATGAGACGCATTAGCACTTTTTAAATCAGAGTACTTTGCAATGAAGGTCACCCAACGTTTATAATTACAATTACATTAATTCATTTCTAAAACGTATACAATCTCAAGAAACATTTTTTTTAACTCAATTACAAACATAAGAGTAATTATTTACAAATTTTTATTAGCCCTAATTTTGAACATAGTACATTTTGCTGATATGCAGCAATACCTCTCATAGTGCGGCTTCGATCAATGCGGATTGATTAAAGGTGAATTAAAGGTGGGGTTCTATGCGATTTAACGACTTAGTCCGGTTGCAAACAGTTCGCAACTGTTTACCAGTTAGTATTCTGCATTTCGTCAATTAATTTCATTTACATATTTTTCAGATTAATTTAATTTGTGTACAAATTTACATCATTTAAATGTTGACATTATTGTTTTCAAATTATATTCAAATTATTATATTTGAATAATTTAAAATATAAGTAATTCATTAAAATAATGTATATACTTGTTTTCCTTTAATTCCTGTTGAATTTCTTCAGAATTTCCTAATAGACAAAATATAATTACGGAATCTCTTAACATTAATTGAGCGTGCATTGGTGCAATAAACAAGTTTAAATTTCAAGTTATTGAACTTTGAACTAAATAATTCAAATATTGTATATACTTCTTGAATATTCTTTGAAAATATTTTGTTTATAATGAAATGAGGAAAGAAAAATAAATGGTGAAATTTACATTATTAATCTAAAGTATACTGATTTATAAAACTGCATTGCATCACTTGAACTATAATGAAAATGAAAGCGTATAATGTTTACGTTTGCCAATTATATTTTATTTACTACATTCATTTCAAATTGTAAGCAATTCTAATAGCTATTACAAATAACGTATTTTCACATCATGTTTTTACTTGCACTTATTGATAGTTTCATTATTAATATGTAATATTAGAATCTAATATCTCGAGATATTTAATTCTAAATTTAATTATAAACCTCGCATAGTACGGATTCACTATAGTCCAGATTGATTTATTTTCTTTCATCTATACCGCGAGAGCCATACATTTTTGTTGCCTAGATATAATCATAAATTTGGCTCTTTACTCTAAAAAGGTTAACGACTCCTTCTCTATACTCCAGTCTCTTTTGTTTACGTTTATGCTTTATTAAAGACTTCGATTAGTCCGGTTTCAAACAGGTCGAACCGTTTACTCGTACTATGCGAGGTATTGGCTGCCAATCAACTTTATTTAATTGAAAACGTGCTATTTTCTGCACTTCTCCATGCTTGAAGCATTAAAAAAACTAATTGTATGTTTGTTGGATGAACGCACGAAAAACGAATTCATCTGTTGTAATCACAGTAAAATTTAAATATCATTAAGCAAATACCGTTTCAATGTTAAGCAATTGCTTGATGGTCATCTTGCTTAAGTATAAAAGTCTTTTTCTTCATCACTTCAACATGTTAAAATGTGACAAAAGTCCTAATCTAAATTTATTATTGATTTAAAACAAAAATAAATTAATAGTAAGTATACTTATTTGTAGTAGTATTTCTACTATTATTATATTCAGATTATTTCATTCAGATTATAATATAATAATCTGAATGACATATCATTGAATTTGAATTAAATTAATAGTAGTATAACTATTGGATTTAGAATAATAAATTCGGCCGTGACGACATTCTTGTAGATAAACAAGACTTTCGCTTTTATTTCATTATAAATATACACGTTTCCAAACGGAAAATGAAGAGCGGCGGCGTTTTCGGAATACCGATTGGACCAATCAATGTTCGATGCTTTCGAGCGCAACGTCATTTGCTGCAGTGAAGAAACGTCCATCTGCAATCAGAGGACCTTTCGCCAAAGACTACTGAAATCTTCCATTTAGCAACTGCATTTCAATGCCGACACTGTGTCGAAACTGGGCTTCGTAGCAACCTTTCGTTTCGGCAAAAACAACATTAACAACGCAACTGATCAACTGTAAAGAAAACAAGAACAATTGTACTGAAAATTGCTCAAAAACTGCAACGCTTTTGATTGACCCCATTCGTTGGCTCATCGCCGATGCGAACAACAATTAGCATTCGAGATTTATATTATATTCGTGTGTGTATTATTTCATAATTTTTATGACTCGATTATTCAGTTTTTCGTACGGTTCGAAACTACGGTGCGCGGAACTCGTTCCGAAGGACGTCCGGCCAAATGGCAGCAGGCGGTCGGCGGTACTCTTACTTCTTCGGTTTCGCATCTACAATTGCGCTGGTCTTTGGTAATAATCGACTATTTGAGCCAAATACCTGCAAAGCCCAGTTTCACATAATATTTTCACATATTTCAATATTTATCTAATTTATATGTGCATTTATTTCATATATGACGTTATTATAAAAAACTGATCCAAATTAAAATTGAATATGCAGTTATTTCCAATAACCTTTGTATTTCATTTATGTAATTCTATTTATTATTTTTTTAAATTACCATATTCTTTTATAGCGAAAATCTGCTACTATTTTAGTGCATATTTCCATAGTAATTTAATGCAGATATAGATTTCAATACCGGACTGCTTATAACCGAACTTTAAACAGCATAAAAATAAACCGCAAAATTAGACTTGACTGCATAAAGCAGGGATCTCCAAACTACGGCCCGAGGGCCAACACTGTGGATGCTAGTGGAAACTTGATGATACGTGGATCTGTAAATATTTTTTTTGTATATTTCATTTTGGAGAATATTTTGGCTCTTGGAACTTAGTGGAGGAGTCAGTGTGGCCCTTAGGCTGAAAAGTTTGGAGACCTCTGGTATAAAGGGAAAAAAATATAATTTTTGTATAAAAAAATAATTTTGTATATTAATTTATTAGAATTTAACACCTCACTCAATAAGTTCGTAGGATGACCAATAAAACAACAACTTTTGTCTCCTTCAAAAATGACACATTCATACCAACGCTTCTCTAACATTTTGATACCTTTTTTGTGGAAAGCCATAAAATACGGCTTCCATTGCTGTCTACTAAGCTGATGACCGATTTTACTCTTGAGTGTAGTGGTGGATTCTGGTTTCATCCATTGTTACATACCGCATAAAAAATCCTCATCGACTCGTTGTTTTTCGACCACTTTGAGTTCATGCAAAATGATGACAACTATCAACTATTTCACGCAACATCAATTTACGATGGGCCAAAATCATTTTTGGACTCTTTTTTATGTTTTCTGCAATAATTGCTGAATTTGGGCGACCAGAGCGTCCACCATCATTTATGTCTGTACGAACGCGTTTAAAATCAGCAAACCACTTATCTACCATTTGTCTCGACACAGAAGAGTCCCCATAACACTTATCAAACCATTGCTTTGCTTGAACGGTATTTTTTTTTTCATCAAAAAGTAATGTTTTATCAGCCCACGAAATTCAGATTTTTCATTGTTTAGAAAATTACAAAAGTAGCGTCACTAAAACCATTCTAACTTGTGAACTAAACGTCGGATTGAACTATGATATGAACTTTAAATCTAATGGAATAAACTTGCTATTATTATTATTTTTGTAAATATATTCAAAGTATTTGAACACTAATTGTATTTATAAACACATTTTTAAACGGAAATAGCCGATGATAGTAACAATGAATTATCTTTTAACAATGTTAAAAAAACTAAATTGGATAAATTTTAAATAAATTACGATATAAATTTTTAGATAATCAATTCAATGCAAATTTAGATTTTGAAATGTTGTAATATCCAGGACTGATCGAGATAATAAATAAATTATAAAAAGATTATAAAAGAAAAAAAAAACGATTATTTATTTTAGAACAAATAATTTTGTGTACTATTTTTTTAAATATATTTTTTTATACGCTCATTTAAAATTTAGATTTTTTGTTAATTTTCACACCGAACTATAGTGAATTTGGGCGGGCTGATTGAAGCCCGAGGTATTGATGTAAAAAATTTTGAATAAATTTTAATTAATTAGTATTAAATAATTTAATTGATAAACATGAGTTTGTAGAAAAAAAATGTCTGGTAAATTTCAATTAGTACACTTACATCTATTACCAGAAGTGTATATACTAATTATACATGATAATTATAAACATTATATGATAACTACATTGGCATAATTAGTAAACCAGTTGTATTCATTAGGATGAGAACGTGTGTGTAAGTAAAAATAAATAAGTAAATAAAAGTAAAGTAAAGTACATATTCTCAATTATTTTACAAGTAAATCTTAATTTATAACAAAACATAATTGAACTAAGATATGTTAATTAGAATGAAAAACAATTTTGTATGTTTTAATTAAAATTAAGTAATTTATATCAAATATTTTCGCAATGAGAAAGGTTGTTTACTATCAATAACGAATCAATTACTCAGATTATCTCTGAACTGTACATTGTTCAGAAATGTCACAAATAAGAAAAATAGTAATTTGTTTCTTGAGGAAAACTTTTGTTTTATTTGCAAACGATTATTTATTAAAACAAACTATGACAATAAATCTAAAATTTACTTGGATTTAAAATTATATATTCACGTTTATAATACATTTGCAGTAAAAAATGAGCATTAATTAGCAATAAATTTGTTTTTCTATGTGTTTGTTAGAATTTATAACACTTTGATTTAATTAAAATTTTATTATTTGTTTTGTTTTGAAAATGCTATAAGTCAATATTTTTTTGAACTTTTGATCGAGAATAATAGTTTTATTTTTTATTACAAATTTAATTTAAATTTAATTAAAATGTTAGAAAACATCAACGTAATTATAAATTCCGCATTTACTTACAATGAATCTTGTTACTATGTCCAATTTATGTTTGTACACTTTAACTTATTGTAACTTTGTGCACTCGAACCTGCTTCTATCAACATTGAATCGCAACGACTGAATTAAGACCGTTTACTTTGATAAGACCCTGAGCACCTGTATAAATGCTTGCTGCTCTACCACTTCCACTAGACTTTGCAGTTTGTTTATGTGAATAGTCTGATTCATATTAATCTAAATTTTGAGACTTGTGAATTTTTGTTTTAATTTATTTTATTTGTATAATTACAACGAATTAATTGTAATCTTTCGTAAATAATTATATTATTTTTAATTATCGTAAATAATAAGATGTATTCAATTATAAATTGCAGAGGAAATTGCTATGGTGTGTTGTGTAACTTTCAACAACAATATTTGCATAATTTTATTTTAGATACATTTTTTTCTAGAAATGCACTTTACTTCAGTTTACTTATTAATAACTCAATGAATAATATAAATTTTTTGAAACTATTTCATTTACATTTTTTATTGTAAACTTTGGAAATTTATTTTTTAACAAATATATACTTTAATTATTTACTCACATTTTACCTCAATATACTTTAGTTTACATCTTTTTTTTTCAGTTTACTTTAGTTTAAGAAAGTCTAAATTTTTCATGACATGTTTAAGAAAGTACGAAAAATTTAAACGATTTTTCTTGATAAATTTTCCTTTAAGCACTAAATGCTAATTACTAATGTTAGCTAGGATAAACGATTTTTAATTGTGCTTTCTAAAACTGTCTGTCTAAATATATCACTAAGTATTATTAAACACAATCAATTAGTGTAATATTTATAATTGCACATGCAGAAATTACTATATACAAATTTTCATTAATTATAAACATATTTTATATAATTATTTAAATTTATACTAATTTTCCATTCAATTAAATTAAATAATTACACTGCAATTTTACATTACAATAAATACAACTCTTTTGAAAATTCAACAGATTACCATAGTTTATAATTTTTTTTTTGTAATTATAGAATTATCTTGAAAATTTCAAAACTAAATTTTAATTGACTATGCGAGTTATTGTTGTACTATTATTTTCTAATTTTATTTATTTCTATTTTTTGTTGTTGTATTTTCTAAAAGAATATACATTTATTAAAAACGTTTGAGCTTGTTGCCACCTCAAATGCTTCTGAAAATAAATGTTCTCTTGACATTTGCAACAATTGCATCTATGGATCAAATGTAAATGAAGAGACACAGCACCAATGATTGTTTGTTTGTTTTGCTTTCTGGTAGCATATTTGATTGCGCATTAGATAACTATGCCAATTTGAATATACCAAGGTGATTATTATGCGGAATGCGCAACGATACAATAAGTTTTAATCATCGTCCTATTCTCGAATTAGAAATAATTGTACAGAAGAATCGAACAAATTGCAACTCAATTATTCAGACAATTGTTGTAATCAAATTGGAAATTGCACGTCTCAAGAAGATGGGTGGCGCTAAGTGTTATTGATCGTGTGTTATTTTATTACGTCATTATTTATATTGTAAATCTATGTAAATGCATTTAAATTGGGTGGTCTGCATATAATCAAGAGAAATATTATTTTTGAATAAGTATTTAACATTGAATCTATGAGCAAATATTCTTAGAAAATTATCTCGTGGTTGACAATTCAACGAAAGTATTGCACAATACTGGGTAAATAAAGCATGAATGAATTATATATTTGCCTTAGTATGCTTAGTGCATATTAAGGCAAATATATGAAAGTGGTGGCCCGCGGGACGTAGCCGGCCTACGAAGAAATTTTAAACGGCCCGCGAATACAATTCAATTATATTGGGTGAAGTAAAAAGTTCTGAGCCTTTTGTCCCATACATCGAGACCAGACTTGAGATCAGCCTTATGCAAATGGTTCCAAACGGTTTTTTGGCAAATCTTCAGTTCCTAGGCAATGGAATAAGTTCTCGCATGCCGGTCAGACTCGACGGTTTCCATGATTTTATCAAAATTTTCGACGATTGGCCTACCAGAAATGTTTCATCTTCGACATTCATGTTACCAAAACAGAAACGTTGGAACCAACGCTTTGTTGTTGCATTCGATACTGTATTGAGTCCATAAACAACACATATTTTTTTGGCCGCCTGCTCCGCTTTTCCCCTTGGTTGTAGTGGTACTGAAGAATGTATCGAATTTTCTCATTTTTTACCTCAATTTTGGAACGCTCTAATACACAACTGGGTTCATTAAACATAAAACTGTCAAATAACTTTTTTTAAAGTGTTATGTCCCCTTTAAGTTGCAGTTTAGAATGACAAGATGAAACGTATTCATCTTGAGATGTGGCTCACTAAAGCCATCTAACGAAAAAGGCTCAGAACTTTTTACTTCACCTAATATATTTGTTGTAAATGTGGTGTATATAACTTTAACTCATTTTGTTAAAAAAAAAACGTTAAAATTCAGATCGTGCATTCAGACTGCAATTTTTAGTTTGTGCAGTTATTTTAATTATAGAAATATTATTGAAATACTATTAACTGATAATTTAATCAACCTTAAAAATGTTGCGAACGTATGACACGTGTACGCGTGACAATGATGAGACATTTTGAATGATATGACAAAAAAAATATTATGAACGATATTAACCGTACATCTGGGGGACATCATCTATGCCGGGTTTCCCAAACTATGTTTCGTGGAACATGGGTAGTGTTCCGCAGAATGATTTATGAAGTGTTCAGTTGCAGGAGAAATTTGGGAAACCCTGATCTATGAATTCAAGTAACACTGCAACCGAGTTATGCTATGTTTTTTTTTCTTCTTCCGATTTTTTGTACACCGATCTCAAAAGGAATTGATTATGAATGTCGAAGTGGTACTGCGTAATTCCTATATTACCTCGTTATAAGAGAATCGCATTATAAGAAGAGTTAAAATAAATAAAAATTCGTACTTGGAGTACGTGATTTGCATCATGCATCAAATAAAAGTTCAAAAGAATTCAACTGAAGGACCAACAGATTGAGCAAGGAATTGTTATTGAACTCGTTTAATATAAAAAGAGAAATCTACTTTTAAGGTTATACTTAGGAATTTTACATATGAACATCAAAAATAATATATAGAAAAAGTTAACAGCAAAGTTTTCAATTATTTGCAGCCATCCAATTAAAAGGATCTTAATTTTGAATTGTAACTAATAGTAAATGCAGTGGAACTTCGGTTTTCTTAGTTGCTATAAGAATTGTTGTAAATTTGGATAATGTTATATGATAATAACATTTATTGCTAAATTCACAATATTGCATTAAATTAGCAAAAATATCATATGTCCAAAAGTAGTTTGTTTGTTCTTTTTCTGGGTTCACAATTGTTTATATTAAAGATTTACTAAGATGAAAAGCTTTTTTTTTAAAATTCATTAATACATAGTGCATAGTGCGGTTCCGCCAATATCCCGCATAGTTTGAAACAGGGCCATATGTCCAAAAGTGGTTTGTTTATTTTCTATTTTGTTTTTTTGGGTTCATAATTGTTTATATTTAAAATTTACTAACATGAAGAGTTTTTTAAAACATTCAATAATACCTCAAATAATACAATTCCGCCAATTTCCCGCACAGTATGAAATAGAGCCATATGTTAAAAAGTGGCTTTGTTCATTTATTTCTGATTTTTGGGTTCATAATTGTTAATATTTAAAATTTACTAAGATAGAGAGTTTTTTGAAAATTCAATAGTACCTCGCATAGTGCGGTTCCGCTAATATCCTGCGCAGTTTGTAACAGAGTCATATGTCCAAAAGTGGTTTGTATATTTTTTCTGTTTTTATTTCAGTTCACAATTGTTTATATTTAACATTTTCTAATATGAAACGATTTTTAGAAAATTCAATAATGTCTCGCATAGTGCGGTTCCGCCAATATACCGCACAGTTTGAAACAGGGCCATATGTCTAAAAGTGATTTGTTTATTTGTTTCTGATTTTTTGGGTTCATAATTGTTTATATTTAATATTTACTTAGATGATGAGTTTTTTTTGAAAATTCAATAATACCTCGCATAGTGCGGTTCTGCTAATATCCCGCACAGTTTGAAACAGGACCATATGTCCAAAAGTGATTTGTTTATTTTTTTTTGCAGTTTTTTATTGTTATTATAGTTGCTAGGAAATTTTTTTCGATTTATAATTCAATTTCGTGTCATCATAGAAATTTTCCAACTTGAAAAATTCTTTGTATACAATGTTAACGTCACGAAAACGATTTGCGCGCTAAATAATTAGTCAAGTGCAGGAATCAAAAGTTCAGGGTCTCATATTAATGAAAAAATTGAATTTTTAATAACTTTTTTTTTTAATTTTTTAAACCACTTATATATACATACGTGCACATATAAGTTTACAAAAGAAGCTGGGTCTTCATACGATTGACCGTCTGTTCCTTCAACCCATTTTATTAAAAAAATCGTATATATATATATTTAAAATTAGCGCTGAAATTTTCCGGTTTCTTTGCTTACGCGTCTGACATTTCATATTTAAACTGGTGTAAAACGGTTTACAAATGTTATTATCATCCAGGAATAAACACGAAATGCATTTGTATGGAAACGAATTTGTTAAGTGAATTTGTCATCCTGCTTAAATAATATGACTATCATCATTTGTTTATTATTTTCTTAGTTTTATGTAGTCGTTATTTCTTTTTAATTTAAATTAGTATTAAATTAAGTATATATCTCTATAAATGAATTCTTGATTTTATGTTATAATGTTGATTAAATCAAAATATTTTTTATACTTATCATATTTCATAATGTAAATAATCATATTTGGGTTTTACATAAGCTCTTTCAGCATGCAGTTTGTGGGTTACAGATTTTGATATATATAAAAAACAAAAACAAATAAATTACATTATAAGGATAAGAACCACATATTTGTAGAGTAAGTCAGAACTAAGTATTAAATTAAGTTTATATATGAGCACTATAAATATTTTGTATACTTATCATATTTCATAATGTATTCATTACATTTTAATTTGTTAATATAAATAATAATACTAAATAAATGTTTTCAAAT